ATTAGGTAATTAATATTCATAGATTTTTACCCAAAACTAATCAAATCTGCGCACTAGTTCAGAGCATCCATGTGCCAAATTTCATCAAAATCCAATTAATGGTTCTTCAGATATCAGTGGAACAGTCTTGAAACAGCTAAAAATCAGCTAATTATCATGCAAATTAGGTAATTAATATTCATAAATTTTTACCAAAACCTAATCAACTCTGCGCATTATCCCAGAGTATCTATTTACCAAGTTTCACCAAAATTTGATTAGTGGTTCTTGAGACAACGGTGGAACAAAAAAAGTGACATACATACATACATACATACATACATACATACATACATACATACATACAGACATACAGACAGGGTAACTGCAAAGACTCCCTTTTGTGCTTCGCACACGGGAGTAAAAAAAAAACACATGGTTTACGATTTTCGTTGATATTCAGTATACTTTCCTAATGCCTTCACCATAATTCTAATGCCAAGACCCACTGATTAAATTGAACTAATTTTAAATCTTCAAATTTTAAATTTCCTTTTAGGGAATGCCTGGATCACTGGTGTTCCACAAAAGATTGAAATTAGAAGAACAGGAAATTATAGAGATATCAAAGGTGTACAACATTTATAGACGTACCGCACATCACCAGAGGATAAATGAATATATAAGAACTTAACTAGAGACCAAGCAATCAAATGAAGTGGAAGCTTAGTATATAGATTTAATCGCAAATCTTCAAGATAGTATATCATAAATGCAACATGTTAGAATGTCATCTTTGGAAAAATTTGTTTTAAAAGTATAGGGATGGGTACCTATGTGAAGTCACATCTTGAAACTATTTGTGGTGTGGAATTTTAATGGCAATATGTGATGTGATACATTTCCAAAAGTGTGGATTCGGTACATGATAACCTGTCCGTCACAGTTCGGTACACAACCTGCCCGATACAATCCGGTACATAGCCTGTCCGGTACAGACCAGTACATAACCTGTTAAGTACATAGCCTGTGTGGTACCTGACCTGTTTGGTACAGTCCGATACATAGCCTGTCCAGTACAGTCCGGTACATAGCCTGTCCAGTACAGTCCGGTACATAGCCTGTCCGGTACAGACCAGTACATAACCTGTCCAGTACATAGCCTGTGTGGTACCTTACCTGTCTGGTACAGTCCGATACATAGCCTGTCTGGTACATAACCTGTCTAGGACAGGCCGGTACCGTCCGGTACATAACCTGAATTCACCATATGCATCAAGATAGGTAAAACTCCATTATTTTAAATTTCAATCTTTGTGATAAACTGTCACATTTTTATTACAAACAATAATATGAATCGAATAAAAGGGTGCAGCCTCTTAACCTAGCCTCTCTTTGCCATTACTAAACTACAGTGTTCCATTAAAAACTGTCATTTACAAAGAAAATGAAAGAACAATCTTGTTAATAGGAAAAAAAAACTCACACTCACACTATCCTTGTATACACACAAGTTTGCTATCATTGTTACAAACCTCACTTCTAATGGAGAAAGTATGCAAACTAAAATGTCTAATACAATAATATAAATGCACTCCAAACATTACAATATAAAACATCTAATTTCATATAAATAATATTTTGGTTTGGAAGGATTGGATTTTTATGTTTTTTTAATCATAGACCTTTGAATGAGATTTCTATGGTCTATGTTTTAACATGAACATTGTTTATTCCATGACACTTAATAACATAGTATAACTATTACAACCTTGCCCATTGAGAATCTAGATATTACATTAAGAACTTAGAATGGATATAAAGTAGACTGATGATTGACTCTCTGAGGATATAAATTAAATAAATGGTATATGTATTAATACTTGTATAATAACATTTTTTAATCTCAAGGAACATGCATGGAACAGTCCCTGTGGTTACCATTTTAGACATTCATGCAGTGTGTTAGAAAATGAGATTACACGATGTTATGTGTATCAGTAACCCTGTTACATTGTACCAAGTTTGAACCAAAAGCATGAAAATTGACCATGAAACTAAATGGCCACCAGTCAGCCATTTTGAATCAAAATATACACACAAATTCAACATGCACCCAATAAATCAGACACCCAATATGTACAAATTTCATACCAAGTCTTAGACAAATCAGCCAAAGATCAGAAATATCCAGCCATTAGTCATGTCACGAAATTAATGCACATACATACATGCATGTATGGCTAAAATAACTAGTTATTAGGAGTAAAATTCAGTCCAGGGATGTTCGGATACAAATCCTGACTGATGCATGGACACATGCAGACTAAACCATAAATCCCACTGTCCAACAACTGACAGTTGTGACCATTATTGCAGTGGTTATTTCATGATACTCCACCCCTACAAACAATATCTGTTTTAAGTTATTTACCCTTTGAATGCCATTTTAATGACTTGTGTAATTTTTTTCCCTGCATAATAAATATTATGCATTTGGTCCAAAATTACCACAATGAAAATGTAGAAAAAATGTACAAGATGTTGACAGAAATAAGTATGGCCTACAAAGGATTGACCATTGGAATCTATACACAGGTCACAGCTTCCACAGTCACGTTGCTCATCCCTGGGTTCCTCACAGAATAATGGAATGTCCCAAATCCTTTGCATGCTGCACCTGAAACAATGAGACAATCAGCATTAAAGAACATTTCTGACAAAAATGTTATCTTTCTTAATCTTGATGTATTTCAGTTATTATTAAGAAAAATAACATTTTAATGTTATTTATATTTAATACTAGCTAACAATAAATGACATGTTCTTGGGACATTCTTAAGATGAAGGAAAAATCAACAATGAGTTCTGATGTCACTATAAAAGTAATAGTTTATTCTCACCATGTATGCCTGAGACATGAGCCGCTACCAGTGCCCCACTGAATTCTGGGTAATATTGAATTATTCGACTCATAGCAGTTTGACACGCTGTCGTCGGATCCATTCCCATCCTCATGTATTCAACAGCCTGGTAGCTATAACAACCAAAGATTGAAAAATATTAGATGGTCCATGACAGAACCATAAACCATTGTTTTATATTTTATCATTTTACCCTTGCAACTTTCACTGAGTCTATTATAACTGACTGGAACAGAAGAAAGCTACAAGGGAGCAATTACATTAAAAACAACTGATCACCTGGATTTAACAATATACCCTTGAGGGCGATATTCACATCCAACCATCACCACTTGGCTCCCTGTAAATACTGCTATGTATTCTTTATTTTCACTTACAGATTAGTTTGGCCACTTTCATTGGTGGTTAGTAAGTGTGAGTAAAATCTCTCAGGTCTCCTGTGTGCTTATATAACTTGAATCAGGGGCAATAAATCAGATGTTAATTTGTGCCGATATAATATGTGCATTTGCTGCATTAAAATTTGTTGAATAATTTACTGAAAAGTTTTCTTGGTTTATTTTGATTAGGAATTAAATCATCACCATCATGACATACCTTGGTAGGAATCTCATCATTACATCACCATCTCCTGTTCCTGCAGCGCCACCAACATCATTGTCTACGTATGCCCCTGCACCAATCATAGGTGAATCACCAACACGACTGAAAATTAATGCCAAGAAATTTAGCTGGATAAAAATAATGTTTAGTGAATAAAACATTAATACAGACAAGTACTTAAATTGTCTGAATTGTTCCATAATGGCATCCCTAGAGGAGAGCCATTTTTACAAAGGCAAAGGCCTTCAAGTTTGAATGCCATTTTGGTTGAAATATAAGTTTGTTATTTATTTGCAGATTTTCTGATAATCTTACCCAGGTACTTTATGACTGGCACCATTTGTCGATGTACCACCAGCCACATTGCCATCTTTGTCTATCACCACCATACCTACAATGTAGCAATAAATTAAAGAAAACACAATGAGTTTGGAATTCATTAGTTGCTGCCCTAACATATACAACTGTATACAACTGTTAGAATAAGTGTAAAGCAGAGCCAATTACCTACCTATTGTATCATGGTTGTTTTTGTTAATATATTTATTAAATCTTTTTTTCTTTTGACTTCCGGTTTTGATTGGCTGGTATGGGCCACATGACTGTGTTGGGTCTGGTGAAACATTCTAACAAAAAAAAAGCAAAAAACTAATGGATTATTCAAAAAAAACAACTGACCAAATTATTTAGCTGTTTAAAGTTTATCATTGCAATTACTGTAATTCACACCCATATTTCTTACTTGTCTATAGTTTGGCTGACAATTAGCTTTCTTCCATTTTTCCCACATTTCTCTGGAAAAAAAATTGAT